TAAAAGTCTGAACTCTTTTCAGGATGTTTGAAACTGATTTAGATCTACATAATGCATATAGTCCCAACTCAAAAACGATTGATCAGCCTGGAAGAGTTTCCTCGTTAGCCCTTTCTAATCTCCGTCTATTTATGCTACTAGTGAGAAGTCAATTGATTGATGAGAGAAAAATATTCTTTTTTATTTTACCATTTGGTATTGCCTTTCTAATTGCATCTATTGGGACATTTTCACGTTTTCTTGCTTTACCATTAGCATCATTACACAAAGCAGAAGATGTTCGTTGGGTTTTTTTTTGGCAATGATTTTTATCTGTAAATTTTTTTTTTGTTAATTAGTCAACGTTATCTTACTGCTGCTGTTTGGACAGTTGATTTTGGTTATGATAATAATGCTCATCCAAGTCTTGATCGTCTTGCATCCGTACTTGCTGATACGGGTTAGGAAAAATTCTATTATTTGAATAATTATTTTGTTTTGACTATCAACTTAGATGCAGATCTTATTGGTCTTCTTGAAAGAGATACAGCAAAACCATTGTTTTGGAAATAATAATTTAACATCTTATTTAGGAGAAAAATAACATATGTTTACAGATTTTGGTCCATCAACAAAAGATCATACGTTAGGGGTAACAATAAATAAATATAAATAAACAAAATAATTTTGTATCTTTCTTTTTTTCAGATCTTTTATTCTTTGAAAATATCCAATTGTTCGATCAGTACATTATTTATTACCATCACCAGAAAGTAAATTTATGAAAAATAAGTTTGATATTTTATTCTTTTTTAGAAAATAAATAGATTTTTATTTTTTATTTTAGTACTAATCCATTAGTTTTTCTTGGTTATATAACATCGGAACGATTTAGTCGTGATTATCGAAGATTAACTTCAGTTGCAAAACGATATTGATCTAACAGATAAAGATCGATGGTGTCAATAGATTTTATATAACAAATTTAATTCAGTAACATTTCATATTTTTTTTATTTGAATTTTTATTAGGAGGAAAAAATGAATTTTAGTATTGGTTATGCTCGAATTATTCATGGAAGTTTGACTGATAGAGAAATTCAAATGGCTACATTTAAGATTCGAACAAGTGAAAAATTTGATGATCATTCAATTGTTAGTTCCTGATCCATCAGTTGTTACTGAACAATCACTTCTTTTTAATTCAAAGTAGAATTTATTATACGAAATATATTAACTTTTTCTTTTTTTAATAATCGTTTCATTTTTCAGAGAAAGTTTTCGATCATTCTAGAGAGGACATAATTATTTAAATACTCATCGTTTTCATATGGATATACCAGTACGTTTATTTCTTTTCTGTATTTTAGTTTAATTAAATTTTTATTTTTAGATATATTTTCTTGCACGTCAACATCAAACTAATTAATGTCGATTAAAATAAAAACGTTTTTTCAACAAATTGACTGTGATTAAAGTGCTAATATTTCTCGTTTTTTTTCTCTCCTTAAATTAAAATTGTGTATTTCCCTATCTATTTAAAAGATTCGTATAAACCTTTTTCTATGATTAATGTTACTTAGTTCTTTTCTTTTCTTTTTGCCTTAATAAAAAAAACGAATCTTTTGATCAATAAAATATTTTTCTTTTAATATATTATTCTCAACAATGACAACCTTTTATTGATTTTACTCACAACATAATTCAACCGTTACAAAACACAGAAGTTATTCTAACTATTAGCAGGCTTACCAACACCTCCTCATTTTCTTACTTTTCTCCTCGTAGAAAATCTTCGAAATTCAGGAAGTGATTTTTATGATTTTCTCCTGTTTTCAGTTTTTTTTTTTTGCATGACGATTAGAAATACGTTGACCCAATAGAGAGTTGAAAGAGAGAAGAGATCTATCGGAGTGTTTAATGTATATAATAATCAATAAGGATATAGATTGCCTTTCGTTGTCAACTAGCTTTTAGTCGTATGAAATATTTTTCGAATAATAATTGAAATCGAATCAAAGAGGATTTAGTTGGAGTTGAATTAAAGATTAAAATGAATAGACATTATAGCTGTACACAATATTATAATTATCTTTTAAATAAACGAGATTTTTTCAAAAAGATTCGATCGTCAGATAAGTATAGTCATATTGAAAAAGCGCCACGAATAGTTTAGTAAATTGGTTATAGATTGTTTTACTTTTATGTTTTCATTTTTAATATTTGATATGTTACCTTTGATTTTCTATTTTGTTATGTATTCTAATAGAGTGCAAGTGAAAAGTTCGATACTAATTTTTTGTCTTGAGTGGTATATTAGAACTACAGAATATTAATTTAATTTGTCTATATGCCTGTATAGTAGAGGTCTAGTACTACCTATGTATATATCTTTCTAATACGAAAAGTCCTTCAATAAAAAATACAACAACAACAATAAATGATAATAAAATGCTTGAAGTACTTTTTGTTTTGCAATAGAAATTATTTCAAAAGATTTTATAGAGTTTTCGACAGCACATCTTTTGAAAAAAAATTGTGATTTTATCATTTATCTGTGCAAAGATATTCGCAAAACAAACTATGTTGCAAACATTTTGGGACACTCGATATTTCACTGTTTAATATTGTTGGCTATAACATCATCATTTATCAATAAAATCCAAAATGTTTTTTTTTAATCAAAATGACCAGTGAAAAAATCTCTAGAGAGTCTGATAAAATGAAAAGTCTTTTGAATACTTTGCTAATATAGAAACATGTAAACAAATTAAATAAATGTTGTGTAGTTTTAATACACAACTGAAAACAAAAGAGTGGTACCCGGCTTTTGACCCGCACTATAATTGCTTATGAAATAATTATTAAAATAAACGTTTATGAAATTATCAATCTTTTTTGCTAATTTTATTTCACCTATAAGAATATTTTTTAGTCACCATCTTGATTTGGAAACGAGAAAAGTGCATATACGAGTGAAAACTTGGATGATCTTATCAGATAAAAACTACCGAATGGCTTTTGACCTTGAAAGAAAAGCCTCCTGATTTTTTATAAAAGACTCCTGATTTCTAAAATTTGAATTTGGTCTAAGGACTCAAATCACTTTTTGACTAAGACAATGTTTATTTGATAAGTAATAGAAAAGTCTCAAATGATCTTGTTTTCCAGATCTTACATCAAAATTTAACTGGATTTTCAATAAAAATTTGTGGTTACGTTAAAAACTTGACTTGAAACTATTCATGAACAAAGTTTTCAATTCGATTAGTTTATTGAATAAAATTGTAACTTTTCTAGTATCTCCTTCCTATCTTAAGATTTGGAATATTCGAAATTCTCTCAGGTATAAAAGCAAATTTTATTCATATATTTAGATCTTGAAAAAGAAAATTTGTTTTGTTGAAAGATCCAGTTAAATTTTGGCGTCTTGAAAAGAAAGGCCCACAAAACTAAACCATTCTAGATTTTTCTCTTAGTCATCAAATGAATACCGTCTTGTTCAAAAAAACGATTTGACACTAGGAGACGTTTCCTCATTAGTGGAGACCTGGTCGGCATGTCTATTGTTTTTATATTTCTTTCGACTATAATCGATTGACATTAAAATATTGACAGTATACATCGTCATATAAGGCAAGAATACTGATTTACAGTTGTTTTTTTCTTTTGTTCTTTTTGTTTTATTTTTCGATCGTTAAAGCATAATAGAATCTTTTGTTGATAATCACTTGAGCAGTATGACGTCAATACAAATCATAAGAACAAAGTCTAAAAGTCGTTGATGTCGTTTTCATCTGATAAGAATTAGTGATACGATAAAGTCTTTTCTAGAACGAGAAGACATACAAGACATGTATAATTTCAAATATTTCAATAAAATCTCCAGTCTATTTCATCTTAATGACAGAAGTTTATTTTCAAATCAATCTTCTCTCTACAAATAAACGATCAAAGGAATAGTTTTGGAAGAAAAAGGCTTATATCAACGATATTAATAATAACATAGATATCATTTATTATCCATCAGAAATACATCGTATACTAGCAGATGGTATCAAAGTAAATAACCATTCAACTATATATGAATAATCAAATTAGAAATCTTTATGTAAAAAAGGATATTTTTTCCAAATTTCTGTTATATTTATTATCATATTTGACATATCTTTCACTACGCTTTTTGTTTTCGATCATTACAAATTCTATTTGAAAAGAAATTTCTTTTTAAATATACTTGTAATGAAGTTTCAGGTTTCATATTAACATGAAATACTATTTATTATTCAAGTATTTGTGTAAATGCATACGTAAATTGATCCCATATGAAACATTGATAAATTAAAGTTAGAATTCGAATTGTTATTTAGACCTAAAATATCCCGAAGAGACCGAAGATAAATGATCGATGGCTAATTCCATTATAAGATATATATACCTAGACAGATGAAATATGATGTGACTATAATTTATTCGGTTGTGGTATGGCAACTAAAAAGAAAGGAATTTTGCCATTTCCACTGTCGATTTTGTATGAAAGAGTCTACGAGACTTCAATGAAATTTTAAAAACGTTATATTTTCTTTTTTCGTAATTTTTATTGGAAAATTTTTTTTTTTTGTCAAATGTTTTCATATAATGGAAATTGTTTCGAATTTAAATATCTTCATGAAACTGAAAAAGACAAAGTTTTATTTCGTGTAACATCGGATATTCAAATAATATATTCGTCAGACACACAAAAACCAGTTATTGATTGATCTTATCTAAACAAGATATTATTTTAGCTAATAATGAGAATAAAATCATATTTTATTGGAAACGTGAACATAAAGCACAATATGAAATAATTGGTTAAGGAAAAGTATGAGTGTACTGTGATCAATAAACCAGAAAATAATTTTACTTATATCAATATCCTTTGTTGATCGAAGACTGATAAGAGAAGGTCCCAGACTGTCTAATCGGTTTTTTTTCACCTAGTAGATTATAAGTAATCAACCGTGCTAATTACGAATATCAATACATCACTGGCAACTAGAACTCCAGAGACTGATTACTGGAAAGTCTCTTT